TATATATATATATATATATATATATATATATATATATATATATATATATATATATATATATATATATATATATATATATATATATATATATATATATATATATATATATATATATATATATATATATATATATATATATATATATATATATATATATATATATATATATATATATATATATATATATATATATATATATATATATATATATATATATATATATATATATATATATATATATATATATATATATATATATATATATATATATATATATATATATATATATATATATATATATATATATATATATATATATATATATATATATATATATATATATATATATATATATATATATATATATATATATATATATATATATATATATATATATATATATATATATATATATATATATATATATATATATATATATATATATATATATATATATATATATATATATATATATATATATATATATATATATATATATATATATATATATATATATATATATATATATATATATATATATATTTACTGTTGTTTTAATGTATAGCAAATAGGCATAGTGGGAAAGTAATCGCTCTTCCCAAGTGATCTAAATAAACAATATTGGTCTAATATCTGAAATATTCAGACATGCACATTTGATTATTTTAACCAGTTTATAAGTTGTAAAGATACTGTAGGTGTCTCATTGTAAATTCTTCACTGTAAGTGTCTTTGGTTAGAAAAGTCATACATTTAAAGGTAAATGTAAATCAGGTAATGTGCCTGACTCTGTGCTCATGCAAACTTGAGATATGCTGTGAATGAACTGATTGTTGTGTGTCTTTGATTGCAGGGTCCTCCTCCGAAACCCACCCGCCGTCAGGGAGGATGGGCAGAGGAGAGCTCTACTACTACTAATGTAAGGTCAGTACATCTCTGTCTGTCTGTTTATCTGTCTGTCTGTCTACTTGTCTGCCTGTCATGATTTTCAGAGTGCTGTTTTTCTTCATTGTTATTTAATTCTGTGTCCGCTGTTGTGATGCTCAGTCTCCACATGATGGCAGCGTCTCCTGCTAAATGTGTTTTACTCCCTACTAATGTCAGCATCTATTACTGTAATTTACCTGCCAGCAGTAATGCATGAAAAAGGATATACAGTAATAGAGATAGTAAAGGGTATACAGTAATAGAGATAGTAAAGGGTATACAGTAATAGAGATAGTAAAGGGTATACAGTAATAGACATAGTAAAGGGTATACAGTAATAGAGATAGTAAAGGGTATACAGTAATAGAGATAGTAAAGGGTATACAGTAGTAATATAGAAAAAAAAAACATACTTTTATTTTTTTCAGAATGAACCGCCAACTATTTTAGCATATGTTTTATGCAGCGGATGCCTTTCCACCTGCAACCCAGCACTGGGAAACACTCATTCACACACACACACACACACTCATACACTACGGCCAGTTTAGTACATCAGTTCCCCTATAGCGCATGTGTTTGGACTGTGGGGGAAACCGGAGCACCCGTTGGACACCCGCGCCAACACGGGGAGAACATGCAAACTCCACACAGAAACACCAACTGACCCAGCCTAGACTCGAACCAGCGACCTTCTTGTTGTGAGGTGACCGTGTTGACCACTGAGCCATCGTTTCATCCAGATTTAATTTTAAAAAGTGTAAATAAATTATATGAAAAAACAGGTCCAAGTATATGCGTTTATTTCTGTTTGTTTATGGTCAGGATTCAGGTCCAGGAGCTGGAAATATAAAAAACTACGCAGAATTTCAATGCACTATGTGTGATATACATTTTAAGGTTTGTTTGTTTTCGCTATAGCAATGCCAAGATTAAATTATTGCAGATATTGCATTCATACATCAATACAAAATACAACACAATGAACCAAAAACTTCTAATAATAGGACATCCACAAAATACTTTCCTACCGTACTTTAATGATTACATTCCGTTTTTGTACTGTATTTTTTTTTACAGTGAACCCAGCATTTATATTAGTGTACACTGTGAATGCTCCATGCTGAAAGCATGCTAGCATTTTCCTGAACGTAAGCATTGGCCGGGCTACTTAAAGGTCAAGAATGTCGCTTCTGAGCGTGTGTGTCAAACTTATCTAGATTCCGCTGGCTGGAGGTGTTAAAGGGCTTCTCGACGCATTGATTCTCCTCCTGAAACAAAGTAATCGTCCCCTCTGAAGAAGACAAGGACTTTTTTCTTCATCTCAATGTCACCCCTCGTGCTCAATCACCGGCGCTCTGTTCCCCGCTAATCCCACAGCAGAAATCCCGGGATTTGCAGATCTATCACTCCTAATTGACACTAAATGATCTGTCAGTTTATTGATGGAGCTTTGAAGCCAAGTTGTCACAATATATTTTATCCCCAACAACTTTTTTTTTTCTCCAGACAGTTCAACCATGATGCGTTACACAGGGCGGAATGGAGAGAAGCGGAACGAGTGCTAAACAGACTGAACACCTAATAGCATCTATTCACTTCATCTTTATTTCTCTAGCACACTGGTCACCAAACTTGTTCCTGGAGGGCCGGTGTCCTGCAGATTTTAGCTCCAACTCTAATTAAACACACCTGAACAAGCTAATCAAGGTCTTACTAGGTGTACTTGAAACATCCAGGCTGGTGTGTTGAGGCAAGTTGGAGCTAAACCCTGCAGGGACACCGGCCCTCCAGGACCAGGATTGGTGACCCCTGCTCTAGCACCTTTACAATGTGGATTGTGTCAAAGCAGCTGAACACAGAAGTTCTAGTAAACTGAAAGTGTGTCAGTCCAGTTTTTCAGTTTAGTTCAGTTTAGTGTGGTTTAATATTCACTGCTGAGAGTCCAAACACTGAAGAGCAAATCCGTCCATGCACAGCTCCACAAGTCCCAAACCAAGCAAGCCACACTCTTAGAAAAAAGGTTTTTGTACCTTAGTAAAAGTTGTACCTTATATAATACAGAAAAGCCCTCTTAAGAGACTGTTCTGTGGCTTTTTTGGTACAATAGAAATGAAGATACACAATTGTTCTCATAAAAAGGTACAAAAGTGTTGGACAGCTCCTGCTTTATTACAATATCTGAAAATAAATATGACAGGAAAGGCAAAGTGATTTTATGGATAATTTCTATATAAAAACATGAATTATCATTTAAATCATGTTTAAAGAAACTCATAAATATTCATTATTACGTTCTATAAAACAAAACAACTGGTAAAACTAAACTATAGCTATTGTGAACTAAACATTTAAGGCATTTTATTAAACATTCGGTGAGCATTTTCTGATAAATACAGTTTCATTATTGATATCCGCTCCTTTTGGCGTTTGCTTTCCACTACACACGTGAGCTGGCAAAAGTGCTGCATATGCAAAGTGTTCATGCACACATATTAGTATTGTAAAACTAATCAGACATTGTTCATTTCTCGTTACAATACTTGTGCAAAATTATGTTTCTATTATAAAATAAATAAATTAAATGAACATTTAAGTGATTACAAAGGCATTGTGTGAAAACTGGATAAAAAATGTGTTATATTGTAGATATTGTAGATGTAACATTTTTGTGAAAAGTGCTGTGAAATGTTCAGCAAAAAATAGATCGTTTGATTAATGTTACAGTATTTTAATTCTTTATTGTAAATGGAAAAGGTGCATTTACACAATAAGAATAAACAAAAACATTGTTTAAAATGTATTTGATGTTTTATATTTACTGAAAATACATTGACGTAATTTGCATACACTGTAGCACAATGCCTTTAAATAGTTCTTGAATGAACACATTTGACACTGTTAAGGTACAAAGTGTCTTGTCACTGTCAGATCAGATTCGTACCTTTGATGAAGGCACAATATTGTATCTGCAGGTTTTAAAAACCAAAGGTACATTTTGGTTTCCCATGGTACAAATCATGACCTTAAAGGTACAAACTGCAATAGCACACATTTGTTTTTTTGTCTTAAGGTACGATTCTGTTGCGTAAAAAGGTGCTGCCCTAGTGACAAGGGTTTGTACCGTTTTTTTTGAGAGTGCAGTGGCGACATCTACGTTAGCATTTACCAATCTTCAATCACATGAGTTGTTCTTTTACCTAAACGTTAATGAGCAGTCCATTTGTCTTGAGTTCAGTTTATTATTTTAACAGCATCACTGAAATGTACTGCAGAACGATTAAAAGCTAAATATCAATGTATTTTTAACATTTTTTCAAACGTTTATGTGCTTTTTGCTTTTTTAGAAAACTACAACAAAATACAGAAGAGAAGAAAAAAACAAACAAACAAACAAACACCCAATTCAATACACAACAATAATAATACATAATAAATACAGTACAGACAGACTATGACAGAACAACAGAACACAGAGGGACAAATGCACATGAAGGCAAAGTATAATTCAGCCGGTCAGGTAATGCATGAAGCAATTATAAAGTGACATCGTTATGTATCACCAGAAAAATGCATAGTCCTGACTATAGTTTTATTGTCAAATAATAGTTTGGGCGCATTATTAAGAAGATCATTATAGATTATGAAAGCGTGGTCTGATTCTATTGAAAAACTTTCTTATATAATAACTAGATAAACTAAAGCATACTGAAAGATAAATAATATTATATTAGAGGTGTATAAAGGTCACTTCTCACCCCAGAGTTTTTCTTGTCCTGTGTATTGTTATTTATTTATTATTTTATTGTATTGTATTTGTTTTATTTTATTTATTTATGTATTTTCATTTAATGCAAACCCTAGCTTGTATATAGTTTTCGCTAGCTATGTATGCTGGCTTTGTTCTGCAATAAATAAATAATCACACAAAAAAAAGAATATTATAGATTATGAATGGTGAATATTAATTACACTGAGTTACTAAATGGCCCAAGCATTTTTGAAATTTAATCGTTTTGTTGCTTTAACCCTTTGACTGTCCCTCTACCAAAGGGTTGACCATATTTTTACTGTTTTTACTGTTTTTATTTACTGTTTTTATTGTAAAAAAGACAAGAAAACATTTTAAGTGAGAATCTGAAAAAATTTAATGGCTTCAAAAAAAGGTTATTTAGTTTTTAAAAATGTTTTATTTTAAATATTATTTTTAAAATAAATAGGTCTTGCGCTTCATATTTTTCTTAGTATATGTATTAAGTCCGGTACTTTTACCATAAACCAACACATCAACCATTTGGTAGAGGCTGATACTTTAAAAATTATGGGATGTGTTGACCATGTTAAGTAACATTAGGAGTTAAGAAATGCAATGCAAACATTTTTTTCTTGGTGGGGTATAGTTAAAGGGTTAAATCATATCAATGCATATAATCTTAAGGTTAGCTGAACGCTTGCTTTGGCCTTGTCATAGACTTGATGTTTTTGGGGATGCACAACAGCAATTGTTGTCAGAATCCAATAGGTGGCGCTAAACACCAGCAGAGTGAGCAAGAATCACGGTTAACTGTGAAGAAGGACGTAGTCATTAAACTGGAGCTATTTATTGGAGTTTTTTGACAAGAATTTTGGTTTTGTTGAACCTTATGTTTATGCATGATTTTAGATAAATGTAATCTAGTGGGAATATGGAGGAGGACAAGCTGAAAATGAGCAAATATGTAAGTCTGGGTCATTTTAAAATGTTTTTTTTTAATTGAGATTTATACATCATCTGAAAGCTGAACAATGCTTTAACTTGAAATGGTTTGGTAGGATAGGACAATATCTGGCTGTGATACAACTAATTGAACATATGGAATCTTTGTTTTTTTTCTGATAAAATCAACTTGTGAAATGTCCAAATTAACATCTTAGCTATTCATATTACTAATCTAAAGTTGAGTTTTGATATATTAACATCAGCAAATTTACTAAATAACTTGATATAAGATGATCTTCATATGACACACCCCAAAAAAAGATGTTTCTGCTTGTTTGGTAAGACTTTATTTTGATGGTTCCTTTTGCACATTTTGTTGACTAAAGTTCCATTGCAACTACATGCCAATACTTCTCATTTGAGTATTAGTAGACTGTCTGCTTAATATCTGCTGATACTGCTGCTTCAACAGACATTTAATTGACTATAAGAAACTTTGCAAGTACATGGCAACTTACACTAACCCCAACCCTAACAGTCTACTTATAATCTATTGAGAATTGGCTGGCATGTAGACGCAATGTAACTTACATTCAACATAATGCGGTAAAGGCACCATCAAAATAAAGTGATACCGTTTTATGTTCAGTCCACTTAAATTTGTTAAGTTAACTTGCTTGATTTGTGTTGGGACAACTTAAATGAATTGTGTGGAGCCCTGCATTTTTCACAAAGTATTCTAATGATCTTTGGCAAAAAAGAAAAATCAACCATTTTGACCCGTACAAAGGTCAAGGGTCACAAATAAGATTTAGGGCCCTATCATACACCCGGCGCAATAAGGCGTGTTTCTATGACGTGTTGCTATTTCCATACCATAATTTTTCCGTTTTCCGCCACGGAAATCATTCATTCATTTTCTTTTTGGCTTAGTGCCTTTATTAATCTGGGGTCGCCACAGCGGAATGAACCGCCAAATTATTCAGCACGTTTTTATGCAACGGATGCCCTTCCAGCGGCAACCCATCTCTGGGAAACATCCACTCACACTCGCCACGGAAATTTAAATAGCAAATCAATTTGCGCCACTTTGTGGACTCATAGGGCTCTATTTTGATGGTCCATGCGCAGAGCGCAAAACGCAGGGCGCAAACGCTTTCAGGGTGTGTCAGGACGCATTTTTGCTAATGTAAGGACGGGAAAATCTGCTTTGCGTCGTGGCGCATGTTCTAAAAGGGTTGAGTTTATTTTCTTAATGAGTTATAGGTGTGTTTTGAGAATAAACCAATCAGAGTCTCATCTCCCATTCCCTTTAAGAGCCAGCTGCGTCACGCCAAGAGCGCATTCACTATTTACAGGACGCAAAGTAAGTCTAAGTGGAAAAACTGAGCATTTCACAAGCAAACAGTTCACAGAAAACTGTTAAACAGAGCATCTACTGCGTGAGAATGAGAGATAATGGATCTATAAATAAATACTTTAGTTTGTTAAGCGCAAATATTCGTTTCAAAACTATTTCTGAATTCAGTTCTAATTTCCAGCAAACGAATAAATGAACAATAATAACAAAATGTGCTCAAAAACCTGAGTTATATCCTAAAACACATGCTGTGCTCCATATGGTCTAAAACCTGACAGGTGGACAAATCTAAGCTTGTTTTTAATAAAACAAATATAAATATGGATATAATAAATAATACTGCTAATAATAATAACATTATACAAAAGCAAATTGTTATGAATGAACTGAAAAAGCCTCCCGAGATGAAGAAGACATAAAAGCAGTGATTTTTCATATTTATGTCGGCTAGAAAATAATATGTTTTGTAATATTTTAATCCTTTATATTTATATCCTATATTTATTCTTATTAT